ATTCTGACTCCAGTGTCAATTTAGGCAAATTATTAAAACCTTATTTTCTTCATCCAGATATGGAAAAATTGTACTATATGGCAAGCAAGACCCCTTCCTTGTAGCATATTTTATGGTCCTACAAGAAGTAAAAAAGGCTTAACAACTTGTGCATTTAATACAAAGAACAATATACTGCATTTTAAATTTTTAAAACATACTCAACATTTTCACTCAAATCATCTTTGTTATAACATTGGCTGCCCACATGGGCTTGTTGGTCTCTTGTCTATAAATTCCATATGTAATGGTCCTTCTCCTAAATACTGAAGATTCAATGTATTTATCTAGGAAAAGTACTTAATAGACTTAGGGCCCACAGCAATAAATATTATTGCCAGTCAATTGCTTTTAATAGGTGAAGCCCCTTGAAGGTACAGGATTATTCAGGAAAATAAAATTCATATTTTTTATTTTGAAAAACATGCAGTTTTATTCCATGTTATACACCAAATATCTTTTAAAAATTCACAGGTTATTCTTTATGAATTGTAACCTGCCTTTGTCTGTTGCTTCTCTGAACAAAGTAACACACCTTACACACATGGGAAGTCAAAATGGAATCTAATGTGTCAAACTCTACAATTCAGGAATTTTTTTAAAAAGGGATGTTGGAGACACGTGTGTGATGGGATATGAATGGTGCTGCTGTTGCATCTGTTCACCAGGACATAGCGAAAGTGTTCTCTAGGTGTTCCACTCTTCCCAGAGACAGCCTGTGACCACCAGGCCTTTGCATCTCACACTTGCTCACACTGAGCATTTAGCAGCTCATTAACATTGTCTGGTTTTATGTTTCTGCTAATTTAGATAGCATTTGGCAGAATTTACCCCAGCTGATTGAGTGCTCAGGTGTAATTTCCCTCTCCTCCCTCTCAGAATTCTGTGTTGGATCTTTGGGACCTGAGTTTTCTGATGGGTCCAAGAAAGGGCATCAAGTTAAGAGTGTGGCCAGTTGCTCTCTTGTGGGAGAGATGACAGTGTCACTCTTCGCAGCTCTTTCCATCTGCAAACCACAAGAACTAATAGTCCTTCGTACAGTGGACACATTAGATTTCTTGTGTGATATGTATTACCAATATTTTCTCAAAATAAAAAATATTTGATTTGGCTGATGGTTTCTTATTCTGCCCTGTTTTGCCTGTTCCAGA